TTTCTCTCGATGTTGAACTAACTGTGTCTCGCTTCGTTTAATTTAAAGTGAATTTCATCGTATAAATCCCGCTCGCATGTGAATGGATTATGTTATTTATCTCATCGAATGGGGACGCGGAAGGACGAATTTTAAGGGAATGTCGGCATTATTGTCTTAAAACGGGGATTTCTTTTGAACAGGATACGTTTCAAAGGCTTATTATTTACTTACATATTATCATTCGCACTTTGCCTGATTAAGAATTAAGAGAGGCTTTACTGATATCCTTTTTTTGAAATGAAACTTACATGCGAGATGCGAGACCGCGAGATGGAGCTAGTATTTAGACATTTGAGAGTAACTTCGTTAGAGCGTGCGGAGGTAAAAAAATCTGCAGATATTATTTTCGTAAATCTCTTTCTAATAACGATTGTTTTTACAAGATAAATATAGAAAAAGTTGGTTAAAACTAAAATACAACTACCACAAATGTTATGTTACTGATTATATTTGTTCCCTTTAGGAAAATCTGGGCGATCCAAAATTGTAATAATGGACGTTACTTATTATGTTAACCCCTTTAGATTAAATTTATTTATTTTAAGACCGACTTATCCTATCTAAAAATCTATCTGACTACGGCAGTCATTGCATTTAAGTATATAGTAGCCCTTGGTAGAATCTCACTACGAATTGGCTACGGATTTCTCTACCTCAGAAATCATGTGTATGTCGACTGGTGGAAGAAAATGTGTATCATGTTGTAAGTCTAAGCTTTCAATCACCTGAGGCCATTTTTCGTAGGGCAAATAGGAAATTAAAAAAAAGTTTTGAAAACTGTATCGTGTCACATATCAAATGAAAGGGCTCGTTGTAAGGGTCTCAAATTTTATTAAACAGCTTTAAAATTATTTAAGAAAATAGATGAAAATTGACCGTTCCCCATCTTTTATCTTCGAAACTATTGAGCCTAAAATTTAAAAAAAAAATTCGGTTGTCTGTAAAGTCGGTTTACTGACGATAGTTGAACGTGACAACGTCATAAGAAAATACTGATGGAATGGTTTCACTTTTCAAAAGAAAATTTTAATTTTATTTGTTTGATAGATATTTTGTATGGATATAGAGAAGGAGGTAAATGGAAATGTATTATTGTATGGCAGCTGTCCACGCGGACGCATCGCTCACTCAAGTAGGAGAGAGACAGATGTCGAACGCTGCCGAACGCGGAGGCCGATTGTGCCTCTTTGTCGCTCGTTCCGCGCTCTCGCTTGCACTTCAAGCCTTAAATGGAACGCCTCAGAGCGAGGTAACGCCGCATGAGTCATGTTTTTTCGTGCGTGCAGCCGGCTCTATCGAATTATAAGACGTTGTCACGTCAAAAAATACAGGAAATAGTTCTTTAGATCATAGGAAAATTAATAATAACTGTATATTCTGAACATAAATGTGGTAAATCTTTCAACAAAACAATATTGTGCGTACAAATTTACATTTGCAGTTCGAATGTATAGGTCAACGTGTTTCTTTTCAAATACAATGTTAAGTTGGTTCTTGAGTTAGGGTTCCGTACGTCCGAATCAAAAACGGAACACTTGTAGGATCACCCGTGTGTCTGTCTGTCCGATTGTTTTCTCTTTTATATAATCTAAACGTAATAACGTCCTATGGAATATTTGAGGAGGGACAAATACAGTTTAAATTTGTGGATTGAATTTTAATTAACAATGTATTCAAAGAAGTGAAAAAATGGTTATTGAAGTGTGCTTGTTTCAGATGGAATTCGATTAAATTTCAAATACCAAATGTAAAACTGTTCTGGCAAATGCTTTTAAAATACAAAGCGGGCATTTCCTCAATAATCCTTAAAATAAAATGCCCGTTTTTATTTTTGTTTATTTAGTAGCAAAATTGTTCAATTATTTAGTGTAATTCATGTAGGTGATATATGTATAAAGAACAATTGGTTTTTTTCTAATGTATCATCATCATCATAAGGTTGTCAATCCTAAGACTGTCAGGACATGTACGTCCACTATTTCCTATTCTAAGCTAATCTTCGCATTTCCCTAAAACTAGAACAACTCACATTCTTAACTATTCGTTCGTCAGAAATATCACATTTTGAACGCTTTTAACCTTCCTCCGCGCTCACTGTCCACGTTTCGTATCCGAATTTCTAAATTAACCGTCCAAGAGCCTGGAACTGACTTCTTCTTATTAAGGGCGACTCGATCCTACGCTATTTGTACTGCTCCTTCCATTCTGAATTATCTGACTTCCTAGAAATCGAAGATCAGCGTCTTCTTCTAATTTATGTCTTCTATCTTTATATTTCCTCTTTCTCTACTTTTTTTCCCTTGCGTACCAATGTTATTTTTTTTACTTTTGTTTATATTTATACGATACTGTTTTGTAACTACCGCTTCCATTTTATTTAAGGCCACCACTAACTCCTCCTTGGATGCTAATACTGCTATATCGTCGGCAAATCTAAGCATACTAATCTTTTATCCCTGTATAGCTATCCCTAAAGTTGTCCTGTCTTTCATCATAATCATCATCATCATCATAAGGTCGTCAGTCCTAAGACTGGTTGAACACCCACCTCCACTCTTTCCTATCCTGAGCTAATCTTCGCATTTCCGTAAAAAACAACCCACATCCTTAACTATTCGTGAACAGTAATCTAATCTAGGTGTACCTCAACCCCTCCTAACTCCCGTTTCTGCTTCTAATATGTCTCTGACTAGACCTTCGTGCCTGAGAAGGTGTCCTACCAACCTATCTCGCCTGTTTCTTATTGTCTTCCATAGAGTCCTCTGTTCTCCTATTCTTTCTAATACCTTGCCCTGTATTTAATATTTTTTTTTGAAATCATGAGGTTCTAAGGGTGTTTTAACCTTACAATGCGTCACAAACTTCTTCGGAAATGACACCCCTGATTTTAATTTCTCATCTATAGTGTCTAAATTGAAAGGATTGTTATTTTCCAGGGGTGTTTTGAGTAAAATTTCTAACGACCCAATTAAGAGGTATCGGGAATTTCTATAGCATCATTTATAAATTCAAACTGTAAACTTAATGATTCGAAGTTGTTCTTTTACAATCACTTTTTAAAAAGCCTTTCAGGATCGATAAAAAGTATTTCTTGGAATTCTAGCAGATATCTTGCCAATTCTTTATCAATGTTTGTTTTGAAACTGCTACGACCATTTTCATCTTATAGTGGAAGAAAACAGGGACAACTTATGGCTTTAGTACAATAAGTTGACGTATGTATTATGTAGACGCAGGAGTCCGTGGGCAAATGTCCAAAATGTAACCGATGTTGGAACTCAACCAACCGCTTCTTTACTATGCAACAGTTTGAGTACCAACTGGAAGAATTTTTTGCTATTTAAACTTGTTGCGGTGTACACCAAAACGAACTTAATTACAAAAAAGAAGTTTTGCAACAACTTGGGTACTAAATTGGTTGTTTACGAGCAAGATGTGAAATGCGCTTTGCATAAGCAAGTTTGCATTTTTATTAATGGCCAGACTTTTCTTACTTTTACTGAGAGAAAACTAGTTACGGAGTTGAAACATGAAAATGAATAAACATCTTTCAATTACGAATATATTTACGTATATTACGTANATAGATAGTATTTATTTACCTCATGATCAGAGCATTTTTCTGCATTTTGACAATCTTAGACCTTAGGTACCTATACAGTTTTTGCTTTAGGTATAATATCTAATTGCTTTCATATTAAAAATGTGTTAAGCTGTAGTGTGAATGCTATTACAGTTTACAGTTTTAAAAAACAAATGTTTGGGATCCTTTAGATAAGGGGTGACTATGGGGCGATCGACATTTACCGGTCGATCAATAACATTCCTGATTAAAAATTTTCATTCTGTAGGGATGGATATACAGGGATATACAGCAAAAGACTAGTATGCTCAGAGTTGTAGATGATACAGCAGAATTAGCATCTAGCAAGAAGGAGTTAAAGATAGATTTAAATAAAATGGAAGCGGTATTGACAAAACAGTGTTGTATGAAAATAAATAAAAATAAAATGAAATTACTGGTATGCAAGGGCAAAAAAATAGGGAAAGAGCGAATGTATAGATGGGAGACGAATGATTCAAAGAAGTGGCTGATTTCAGATATCTAGGAAGTCAGATAAGTCAAAACGGAAGGAGTGGTAGGGGTATAAAGCAGAGGATAGCGCAGGGTCGAGTCGCCTTCAATAAAAAGAATTCATTTCTATGCTCGCGAACGATTAATTTCGAAATTCGAAAAAGATTGTTAAAGGTGTATATTTAGAGCGCGGCGCTGTACGGGTGCGAAACATGGACAGTGGGCGCGGCGGAAAAGAAAAGATTAGAAGCGTTCGAAATGTGGTGTTATAGGCGAATGAGGAGATCTGGTCGAAATACTTATAGGTACATATATATATATGAAAATATCCCAATTTATTAATCAGAAGCTGGCTCCACCACTCGAACATTCCAGAACGTTCTGGATTCTTCCGGTCTAGTTCGCTCTAGAATGTTCTACTCGGAGACAATTCTGTAGATATTCGAGATCTTTCTAGCTGTGGATTTACCCAAAAACATTAAGAAACATTCATATAGATACAGGGGTGTAGTCTCACTTATTCTAAACGGATGTTTGGTGGCACTTTGGTGGAGATATATACATAAAATGAACTAATATAGTGTTAAAAACCATCCCCACCACTACCTTATTTTGGTTCTCGTACATTCTAGAACGTTCCCGTCTCTTCGAATCAGATATCTTTTAGAACACTTTTCTTAAAATATGAAAATCTCTTAGGTGTTTTGGTCAATCACTTTCAACCCCCGTATCTTTCAAACCCTTACATCTAAAAAACACCACCTAATTAACATAGTAGGGGTCTACAAATAATATTTATCTGTGATGTGGAGTTTTGGTTGTGAAATATAGACAGATACTCGTCAATTTTTAATTTTCTAATTTTCTAATTTTATTTTGNAAGTGGATTTTCTGAACGGTTTTCGGACGATAAGTAGGTTTGCTTCTAGCGGAAAATTGTTTCGCCAAACCGGGGAAATGTTAGGATATTTTGTTGTTTCAACATTTCACACAATACGTAGGAGGTGCGGTAAGTTTATTTTGATGTACAAATCTGTATTATTTCAGGCTCTTACAAATAAATTATAACAGCTGAATAGTAACAAATTATTTTCTTATTAAGGATGTTTGGGAGGTATGTCAAAATGCTACAAGACAAATAAAAATTTGGAAGAACGTTCCTCATTTAATTCTAAAACTCCTGTAAAAATTACAAATCGATTCACTAAACCGTTAAAAAGTTATTGAAATTTTAAGAAATTGTAATTTTACACGTCATTTTATGGAGATTCGTTAACCGAACAGATTAAATTTATTTTTATTAACAGAAAAAAAGCTACCAGAAATTTCAAACTTTTATAATAAGTAACTTGAACTCTGGAGAATCACTTTAGCGTAAAGTTATTCAAATTCACTAAATGGTTATCGAGGAAAAAATGAAAAATTAGCTGAAAATCTCGTTTTTATTTGATAATATAATAATAATGTTTATAATTGTCTGAAATAAATGCAATTTTAAAGTTTTCATTATTATTTAAACATATTAAAACTCGTTATTTCTTATTTTATTCAAAGTTTTTAGTCAAATTCCAAATTTTCTCTCCAACCATGTACTTTTTTTTTAGTATAGATAGTATTTATTTACCTCATGATCAGAGCATTTTTCTGCATTTTGACAATCTTAGACCTTAGGTACCTATACAGTTTTTGCTTTAGGTATAATATCTAATTGCTTTCATATTAAAAATGTGTTAAGCTGTAGTGTGAATGCTATTACAGTTTACAGTTTTAAAAAACAAATGTTTGGGATCCTTTAGATAAGGGGTGACTATGGGGCGATCGACATTTACCGGTCGATCAATAACATTCCTGATTAAAAATTTTCATTCTGTAGGGATGGATATACAGGGATATACAGCAAAAGACTAGTATGCTCAGAGTTGTAGATGATACAGCAGAATTAGCATCTAGCAAGAAGGAGTTAAAGATAGATTTAAATAAAATGGAAGCGGTATTGACAAAACAGTGTTGTATGAAAATAAATAAAAATAAAATGAAATTACTGGTATGCAAGGGCAAAAAAATAGGGAAAGAGCGAATGTATAGATGGGAGACGAATGATTCAAAGAAGTGGCTGATTTCAGATATCTAGGAAGTCAGATAAGTCAAAACGGAAGGAGTGGTAGGGGTATAAAGCAGAGGATAGCGCAGGGTCGAGTCGCCTTCAATAAAAAGAATTCATTTCTATGCTCGCGAACGATTAATTTCGAAATTCGAAAAAGATTGTTAAAGGTGTATGCTTGGAGCACGGCGCTGCACGGGTGCTAAACATGGACGGTGGGCGCGGCGGAAAAGAAAAGATTAGAAGCGTTCGAAATGTGGTGTTATAGGCGAATGAGGAGATACTGTTGATAGAGAAGGTTATAAATGAAGAGGTATTAGAAAGCATAGGAGAACAGAGGAATCTATGGAAGTCAATAAGAAATAGGCTAGATAGATTGATAGGACACCTTCTCAGGCATGAAGGTCTAGTCAGAGACATATTAGAGGCAGAAACGGGAGTTAGGAGGAGTAGAAGTAGAGCTAGGTTAGATTACTGTTCGCAGATAGTTGAGGATGTGGGATGTTGTAGTTTTAGGGAAATGCGAAGATTAACTCAGGATAGGAAAGAGTGGAGGTGCGTGTCCAACCAGTCTTAGGACTGACGACCTTATGATGATGATGATGATAGTGCCAGATGTCGAGTACTCGGCGTCATGATCCGGTACTCGGGCGTATTTTAAAGAAAGTTCCGGATCTTCCGGGTGCCGGATCCAAATTGGATATGGAGCCCATCTTTACTTAATACGATTTTTAGCCCACTCAATTTTATTTATCTGATTGATATTTTATTACGACTTGCGAAGAACGTACCTACTTACAAAAATTGGTATATTTAGGAATATAGATTACATATTGTAATGTTGTGCATGTTTACCAGTCAGTTTTACATGTTTTTGTCGGTCTGTTATTCTCCTCTGCTAATAAGCTTTATTAAAAACAACCGGTCTGTTAGGGCGTTGTTGACACAGAAGTGCTTTGCTCCAATTTGACCTCTGAACCAGGCAGATTTTGCTTCACTTTTTACTGTTTTAACATAGTGCAATTAGGCATTCCTATGTGTCGATTAAATCATAGCTTTTTAACGTTGATAATTATTTGCATTGACACTTTTATAAATTGATCAAATACACGTTGATTTTTACTTGCAACATAAGAAGCTTCATTTTATCATCAAAACTGCTTCTTTCCTCTGTTTAATATTATAATATAATATGAGTCTTTTTAATATATATAAGTTTGTATTTGATTGAAAGGATGCTTATAAAGTGAGGAGTTTTGGGTCACTAATCCTACAAAGGCTACTTTATTCTCATATTAATTAAAAGCCCAGTTAATCCAATAATTTCATTTCACTGATTAAATTTATGGGAAGAATTGTTATTCTAGACAATAATTTTTAGTCTCTCCCCAGTCTCTTAGAGTCTTTCAGCGTCTCTGAGAGCGTCTTTCACAGTCTCTCAGTTATTGCCTAGGTGTTTTTATGGATCTCTCACAGTCTCTGTATGAGAGACTCGAACGATAAAATTGTTAATTCAGAGATTCGAGTCTCTCACAGAAAGACTGCATTAATAAAACTGAAAAATTGAGAGACTCGAGTCTCTCGTAGAAAGACTGGGATCTCTGAAATAGGTTAAACTGAAAATTTCAACCATGTCTATCGAGACACCAATTATTGAGAGATTCGAGTCTCTCGTTCAGAGATTCGAGTCTCTCGTTCAGAGACTGGTTACGAAATAAGGATCTCTCTATGAGCGACTCGAGTCTCTCGTTCAGAGACGCTAAACAGTTTTTTTGACACTCTCGACAGTCATTTTCAGCGACACTAGAGGGACTCGATGAGAGACGGAGACTCGAGTCTCGCTTTCAGAGACTCTGAGAGACTGAACATTTTTATCTCGGATAATTGCAAGTTTTTTTCAAGTGGTTGCATTATATGTACACGTTTTAACAATTAACAGTGTATGCAGTCGCGAAGACGGTTTTATGAAGTTTTTTTTTATTTCTTTCTCAGGTTGCCCTGGTCCGTTTCCGCGGCGGTCCAGGGTCTTCGTGTTCCGGTAGTGACGTCGTCGGTCGTTCTATATCGAAATGAAGCTTAGCGTCTCCGCGTACAGGGCGCATGCGTCAGCACACAAAAAAATTTTGGACACGGCCTACCAGCACAACTACGGCTCCACCGCACCCCATCCCTCTACGTCAACATCTTTTCAGGTAGGTCAATCTGACTATAAGTACATTTAAGTCAAAACAAAAATCTTAAAAATAAAACAATTCGGTCGATACAATTCCAACACTTTTATTCCTACTGTTTTATTAAATAGCAACGGTCGATTATCTGACGTACTACGCGGGTGCAGAGTGCATAGCCAATAGGATCTAGGCACCTGCTAACTCACTGCTTTACCTTTGACAGCCTCATCTTCGCTAGTTTAAGTTTCGTACCTGATTTTTCTTAACCTCAGTTTTCGTAGTACCTGAATGAAGTTAGCAGCTTCTAGTCATTCCACGTAGTAGGCGTGCGCAATACGGATACCCAATAGAACTTAGGCACCTGCTGCCGCACCGCATTCCTTTCGACAGCCTCCTCACTGCTAGTTTATATTTCGTTCCTGATTTCTCTTAGCCTCAGCTATCTTACTAGCTAAATGAAGTTAGCAGCATCTGAACTTTCGATGTAAAACGCGTGCGCAGAATGCACAGCCAATAGGATCTAGGCACCTGCTAACTCACTGCTTTTCCTTTGACAGCGCTAGTTTAAGTTTCGTCCCTGATTTTTCTTAACCTCCGTTTTCGTAGTACCTGAATGAAGTTAGCAGCTTCTGGTCATTCCACGTAGTAGGCGTGCGCAATACGGATACCCAATAGAACTTAGGCACCTGCTGTCGCATCGTATTCCTTTTGACGGCCTTCTCACTGCCAGTTTATATTTCGTTCCTGATTTCTCTTAGCCTCAGCTTTCTTACTAGCTAAATGAAGTTAGCAGCTTCTGGCCTTTCGATGTAAAACGCGTGCGCAATACGGATACCCAATAGAACTTAGGCACCTGCTGCCGCACCGCATTCCTTTCAACAGCCTCCTCACTGTTAGTTTATGTTTACGTCCCTGATTTCTCTTAGCCTCAGCTTTCTAACTGTACCTAAATGAAGTTAGCAGCTTTCGGTCATGTGACGTACTACGCGTGCGCAGCACAGATAGTCAATTTAATAACCTAGTCACCTGCTATCTTATCGCTTTCACTTTGTTAGCGTCCTTCTCATAAACCTTGTCATTAACACAACTAAATGTTTACGGAAATGGGTTTAGATGGAATTGAATTATCAAGACCTTGTGATAATTCATTTACTGATGTCTCTGTAGTCTAAGATAACGATAACGACATATTGTTGTAAATAAAGCGTATTGTTTTGTACATATTGGTAGAAAATACAAAAATAGCGGTATATTGTCGTCTGAATGTTTACATCCGTTCTTGTTGTCGGAAAAATAAAGCAATATGATATTTTCTTGAACAGTAACCATTTGTTTCAAACTTGAAACTAAACTACGTGCTTCTGTCTATGTGTGTACGTTGGTATAGAATTTTCAAAGCTTCGGGGCTGTACTTTATTTTGATCTTTTATTGAAACCTGACAAAAGATGTTTTTCAAGAATAAATATTTGATTCAGCGTTTGAAATTCTACATTTCACGGACCCGACAAGGTTTTGCATACGACTTACAGGCATGAACTGTATTTCTTGATTTGAAGGTTTTTTCCTATTTTAGCAGGAAGCTTCGACTGATACGTGATCGCACTTTGTATGTTTGCATTTTGTTGATTTTTGGTTTCGCATTTTCTCAGTGGTAACGTAATGGATTTTCATAAAATAAACTGGAAAATAACTCTTCAGTAGTAACGTAACGGATTTTGATAAAGTAAATTGGAAATAACTGTTACATATTTTCATACGTCAATGTTTGGGTACAAAACTTCAAATATGTTTGCGTTAATTCGTTTTAACTCTAAATATACTTCGTTTACTTTCTGTAGCGATGTGACCTTCAGTTTGACCGGCGCAAAGCAGAAAAGAACAGCACTAGGCCAGAAAAGGTAGGAGACAACTCTCGGCCAAACTCTTAACCGGTGAGGAGCGTATAATCCGTACAGTACTGCACGGAAAAATTGACCATTTTATCCACTATAATTGCATTGCTCAAATGTGCTGTTGTTGGTACCAATTACTACTGAAAATATCAACGAGAGGTTTATTTATATTTGAAGACATATTAAAGGCTTTAACGCTTGTTTTCGACTCGCACTACTATTCATGATTGAACAAAACTTTTGGCAGGTACTGTAAGAAAAAGTATGTTTAATGAGCAAGAGTCGAGAATATAATGAGCTTGTTTCTCCCTATCTACGATTTTACCAGCGCGCATCCAAGACATTGGAAGGGGCACATCGCTAGAGAAAGTAAATGAAGTATACTAAAAACCGAATCTTTGTCCACGTCTAAATAATAAACTGAATAATAAATTCGGTGTTTTATATCTTCGTAATAAATTTTACGGACAAAATTGAAATATTTTTCGATAAATTAAAGTATTCGTTTGATCTTTGTGTTATACATGGGTATTTGGAATGTAGATACCTCCTGAAAGGCATAAAATTTCGTGCGAATCAGTTGGTGGTTGTTATATACGTATATGTGGAAATAAAATGCGTTGACTTTATTAGGTTTTCCTTCCATTCTTTTATCTTCACACACGAAAAGACAAAAGGACATAACATGGGGCTCATTAGTGTCACATACTTTTGTCCTTGCTGTCCAAAAATAAAACCGGAAAAGAATTTTGTATTCGAAACATTGAGTCTACACATTTAACGTTATTCGTGCGTGCCTATATTTTATGTCAGTAATATGCTGTTACACTTATGCTTCTCGATATCTTTTAGAATATTTAAAACTAAAACTGTAATTAGGATATTAAGGTGTCCTTCGTTAACGAGATATTAGAAGCAGGAGCGGGAGTAATGAGAGGAAAGGAAAGGCCTAGATTAGATTAAGTTTAACAAATCGTTACAGATCTGAATCTTCTGGTTTTTGGAGAATGTGAAGGTTATTTCGGGGTAGGGATAGTGGAGGTGTAAGTTTAATAAACTACTTAAAATTTAAATAAGAATAAGAGGACCACTATTAGGCTGAACTAGAATTCTTTTCATTGTATGGTCGTCAGTCCTAAGACTTATTGGACATGCACTTCCACTCCTTCCTATCTTGAGCTAATCTTTGCTTTTTTATCTAAAACTAGAACAGCCCACATCCTTAACTATTTGCGAACAGTAATCTAATATAGGTCTACCTCTACTTCTTTTAACTCCTTTTTCTGCCTCTAATATGTCTCTGAGTAGACTTTCATGTCTGAGGAGGTGTCTTTCCAACCTCTCTCGCCTATTTTTTATTGACTTCTATAGAGTTCTCTGTTCTATTCTTTCTAATACCTCGTCATTTCTAACCTTCCATCTCCGCGGCATCTTCATCATTCGCACGGTAACACCATTTTTCGAATGCTTCTAACCTTCTAATCTTTTTCGAATTCTAAAGTAATTGTTTCGCGAGCATAAAAGTAACTTCTTTTTATTTAAGGCGATTCGACCCTGTGGTATCCTCTGCTTTATTTCTTCTTCCATCCTAACTTATCTGCCTTCCTAGATACATCGCTCTTTCCCTTCTTTTTCTTCCTTTGCATACCAGTAGGTATTTTTATTTTACTTTTATTTATTTTCATACAATACTGTTTTGTCAATACCGCTTTCATTTTATTTAAAGCTATCTCTAAGTCCTTGCTAGATGCTAATACTTCTGTATCATCTGCAAATCTAAACGTACTATTCTTTTACCCCTGTGTATCCAACCCTACTGTTGTACTGTCTTTAATGATGTTGACCGCGTCTTCGGTGTATAGATTAAAAATTAGGGGTGACAGTTTGAATCCTTGTCTGACTCCCTTCCTCATATTTACTTCTCTACGTTGCAGCTCCAGCTCTATAACTGCCTGTTGCTCTTTATACAAACTGAGTATCACTCTTCTACTTCTGCAACTCATCCCTACATTTTAATTAATGGGAATTCTTTTATAGCTTTTAAATTTTCAAGTGAAGTAGACGGCAATTTTCCATCATGTACATTTAATGGAGGGTATAGAATCTATTGATTTTCTGTTAAAAAGACTGAATAAAGATAAAAAGTCCCTAAGTAGAAACTTGATAGTTACATAATGTATCTAGCCATTTTCTAGTGCTCGTTATCATTATCGGGATAGCCAAGCTTTCTGACATTTCGATCACGTTCCCGTTTCACTTTTTAACTTCTTTTTCTCTCTGTATATGAAAGTCGTTTAATACTTAGTGAATTGGTTCCTAGAGAGCAGTAATCGTCTGGAGTTTTACGAATTTCTTCCACCTTTATTATTGTCATCTATCGAAAGTGCTAGATAATTGCCCTTCTCTAATGGTCTCTTATTCTTCCAGCCAATTTCGGATCAATTCGTTTTAATAAGCATTAGTGTTATCGTTGGTTAACAGAACCAAAACTTTTTAACTATTTTGTATTTTTGTAGTTTAGAAACAAAGCAAGATACGGTAATAAGTTTTTGTTATTGTAAAAATAACAGCGGACGTTACGTCTTAGTTGTAAGACTTTTTTAATTTGAGTTTTTAAAGTGAATATTTAAGGCGAAACGTCGGTGGTTGTTTTTACAATAAAAAAGACGTATTATCGTATCTTGCTTTGCTTTTATATTTAGGCACAGCTTTGAGGAGAAAATAGAGAAAACGGAAACCAGCGTGTAAATCTCTTGATTTTTGAATCGAGATGTTTTTTAGGATGTGTCTTTGTTTACTTTGATGGGTTCCATTAAGAATTTTNTCTCTAACTCGGTTTTTTATCAAAACTTCTGGAATACTATTAGTTTGCCAAATACAGACATTCTATTTCTAATTCTTTCTCGTTAACATCTTCATAGCAGCAAATTCTTCGCAACTTTGTCTCGGGATTTGAAGTTTTCAAGTGAAAAATTATGTCAACAATAACCAATGTCCTTGTATTTCTACTTTAATATCTCTTCCTAACTCATTTGGACTATCAGTGCAGATTCATCAAAAAATGTCTGGCGCGAACTTCGAAGTCTTATTCTTTGAGACAAGTCCTTGTAGTCAGATTCTGCATTTTC